CATGAAATTGTAAGACATTGTGAATGCCTCTATGCTGTGGATTAAAATGATTACATATGCAGAGTTGACTTGGTTGTTAATAAGAAACACTAATTAGCAGATTTAACAACTGCATTAAAAATAAATTGTTCCAAGACAGGAAATAAAAGGTTGAAACTTTTCTTAAGTTACAGTAATAAAAGCCATAAGAGTTATGGATTTTTGAAATTTATATGTCAAATGTTCAAACTATATTTGAAGAGTTAAATTTTGACACTTACAAAGTGTCAAAAAACTTGACACTTAGAAAGATCAATGTTCTCATTCTCCCAGTAATGACTGACAAACACAGACAGGTCATTTCATTCCTTCCCTTAATAGAACTGAGAGAGGAAAGGCTTTTTCCTTAATGCAAGAACAAGCATGAGTCTACCTATAGCAAAGCTCATTCACATACCCGAATATCAATGTACCACACAACCTGAGTTCACATCAGTGCATTTGGGTAAGTATAGTCCCTGCTAAACATTCTGCTCTTCTCCATCTTTAAAAATATACAATAGTTGAAATTTAAATTGACCATTTAATTATTCTCCCTACAAGTGTCTATTGAGCACTACATTTTTTCAGGCATGTTATAGGTGAAGAGAACATGGTGGTGAAAAACTTGATCAAGGTCTTATCATATCATAGAGATGCCACTTTAGAGATGATTATAGACATTGAGCAAGTAAACAAATAAACTAATTTCATAATACAAGCAAAATAATTCCAAGATGCGACAAATGCTGTGAAAGAAATAAGATAGAATAATATAATGGAGTGACTGGGAAAAGGAGGATATGTGAATTTGGAGTTCAGGAAAGTCATGTTTAAGCAGGAGAGATCTGAGGCTATGCAAAAGTCTGGCAACAGAGCAATCCAGGCGGCCGGACAGCAAGCACAAAGATGGTAAAATGGGAAGAAGCTCAGTATGGATGGAGACAAATACAGACGCTGGAAGGAATAAAGTTACCAACACATCTTTGTTACAAGTGATGAGAAAGTCTAACTGAGAGGAAATGATAGCTGTGAAATCCAGATAACCCATCCTGCCATTTAAGTTGATTAATCAGAATTTCTAGTTGTCTCAATGCAGAAATGTCCAAGCTAATATCACCATTTTCCATGACCCACTTCTCCACTGGAAATAAGATTTATCTTGCCACCCCAAGTGATACCATTTCTGGAGGGGCAAGGAATTTAGAGAGCAATGTGAGAGTCATGCCAAATTTAATAGTCAAAATGACACTTATTTTCATAATATGTATTTTCTCATTTTAGGGAATATATGAATCCCAGGAAAGCCCATTATTGTTGTGGATAATGAGCACTGTAGAACAGCTATGGCTTTTTGGAACTTGGTCCTGCCAAGGTGTGAATTTTTCCTTTCAGTGGTATGTAGCACATCTTGTCCATAACTAGGCACGGATGGCACTCTTCTTCACTTTTTGTTCCTTTTATACCAAAGAGTTATTTTCTAAGTACAAATTCAAATTAGAAACTCACCAGAATTTATTTGCTTCCAGAAGAGTTCATGTTTTTAATTTTAAAATATTAAAATTAAAATTAGAGGAAAATCTCAAAGGAAAAAGAAGAACAAAAGTTAAAGTAAGAAATACTAAGGCTCTTAAACATAATTTAAAAATGACTTAAATATATACTTAAGACACTGAAGAAATGCTTTCTTGAAAACCATTTTAAGGTACTAAAAAATCTTTCAGTGAAATTAGTTGGTGTTACTCAATAAATAAATGTAATAATCTATTATATATATATGTATTTTGAGATGTAGTCTCACTCTGTTGCCCAGGTTAGAGAGCAGTGGCCCGATCTCGGCTCACTGCAGCTCTGCCTCAGCCTCCCGATGCCTAGCTAATTTTTTTTTTTTTTTTTGTATTTTTAGTAGAGACAGAGAGTTTTGCCAAGTTGGCCAGGCTGGTCTCGATCTCCTGACCTCAGCTGAACCACTCACCTTGGCCTGCCAAGTGCTGGAATTAGAGATGTGAGCCACTACGTCCAGTCCTATTATATAACTCTGCAGTAAATGTTTATTTATAGACAACCTTATAAATACGGTATAATAGAAAAGAGGACTCATTCATGGGCTTTGGAGGTTGCCAGGAATGAATTCAAATTCTGGTTCTTCTTGGATTTTCTGAGCCTCAGTTACTTTTTCTTGTAAAGTGTTGATTCTAACCTAACCTCTAGGTCAGCTGTGAGATCTGAATTAGATAGTTATTTTAAAGAACCTAACAGATGGAAATCGTTCAATAAACTGTGACTTTTTCCCACCTATTCTGACACCCCCTAGCATGGATACAGTGTGAAATCATTCTCCTTAACAACAATAATAAATTGTATGGCACTTCCGATACTTCTGTTAATAATTAAGCAATTCTCTATAAAAAATTATTTGTGAACTTTTGCATTACCTTTCTTAAAAGTAGATTTTTCATTAGCCTAGTTGCTCATGAATCAGTTTCAACTATATATAAATTATCAGAAAAATCAAAAAGCCTTCAACATGTGCTGACACATTTGATGGCCTTAGAAAATAAACTTTTAGTTTAGAAGAGCAAAGGCTGAGTAGATCAAACTTTTTCTTGGTAGGCAAAAGTAGCTCAAAGATCATTCCTGGAAAAGTATACTGGGAGGAGGCTGTTGGTGACAGTAAAGTGAATACAAAATTAAACATCTTGGATTTAGCATAGATATTCAGCTGAGAGAAGCAAAGTTTGTAAGCAGAAAAAGAGGGATAAAGGTAAATGGTATAAAGGGTGTTTGCACTTATAAAGGCTCATTAAATTTTATATCCTTTCTCTGTATAATTTTCTGCCTGAGACAGTACACTAACCTACCCTGGGCACATAATAAAATAAAAGGTGACAACAGTTAGGCACCAGATTCATTCTGCACCTAAACCTTTAAATGAATTACATTCCATATGAATGTTAAAATATTCATGTGATGAATCATCACATAATCATGTAATGAAAGGGGGTTGCTGTTTTTCAAATCTGTTGATTAACAGAGTAGTTCAATTTAAAGTTACTTTTTATAAAGTATACAACATTAGGAGACAAATTATCTGGCAAAGGGTAGCCTGCTCCTGTCACTCTATGAGCTTCTGGAGTGAAGTAAGCCCAAGGAAGAAGCCTGACTCAGTCATCTTGAGCCAGACCAAGCCACATCACCTAATCAAATCCGCCAGAAAATAGAATCAATTAGAGGTCAGTGGATAATTGTTGACAGTGGAAGGTGAAGAAAATATGTTAGCTTTGGAATTAGATAGATCTAGGTTTAAACCCTAGGCTTATGGGATATAAGCAGCCACTTGCAAGCTTTGTAACCCTGAGGAGGTGTCTTCACCTCGGTAAGCCTCAATTTTTTTTAATGTAAAACACTTTTCCTTTTTTTCCAGAAACAGGGCATCACTATGTTGCCCAAGCTGGTTTGGAACTCCTGGGCTCAAGAAACCCTCCCACATCAGCCTAAAATACAGATTTTAATACTCAATTTTGTTATAATAAGAATTAAATAAGTTAATGCACGTAAAGTTTTTAGCATGGCAATTGATACCTATGGGCCTTAAACAAATAGCACTTTGAAAAAAAAAGTTTCCTTTAAACAATATCTTCTTATGCCTACTAAAGCCATAGAGTGGGAGCTTGGGCCTCTTCCCACTCTGTGGATATTCATGACCACAGCCCATTCTGCATATGAGGCAATGCACCATCGTTAACTGCAAAGGAGCAAACAACGTGTCTCCAGTCAGCCTTAGTGAAAATTGCTCCCGATCCCTCTCTTTTTTCAGGGCTTGCAGCAGCTCAGACAAATCTTACAGTGTGAAAGGAGGAATGACTATCCTGGCATGAGAAAAGCATCACTATTGAAGCTTACTTTTCTGCTTATCTTTTCTTTGAGCATATTTAGAGCCTTGAACATGTAGAACTGGCCAGAGTCTGGCACATCCTAATCAGTTTTCTTTGCCTTCCTGAAAAGTCCTGTATACCTTCTCATCACTTGGTGGGCATCAGTTCTCATCTTGGTCCAGGCTTAACTTGGACTTAAGAGCATTGTGAGCATAGAAGGAGGTTTAGTGTGGCATTTGGTGGAGGTATAGTGAAGAAGGCAACTGGATTAGGAGACTGAAGTCTTGGCTTCTCGCTAGTTGTGGCAAAGTACCTCAACATATCTCAATTACAAAATGCTAATTCTTATTACATAGGATTTGTGTGCACATGTGATGGTGAAATAAAATACTAAGAAAGGAGTTTATAAATTGTATAGAACTATTACAGAAGAAGGCTTTTATTCTAGTAGATCTATTTGATGTATAAAATAAATATTGAGCCATATTTAACTTTAATATTAAAATCTTCTCTGTTTATGAATTCCAATATTGCTCCAAAATGGACTTTATTCTTACCCTGTTTATCTATAGACTGTACCATTATAAATAATATTATTAAATGATTAGTAATTTATCTGATTTTAAATTAACATTATGATACTAGTTCAGATCAGTCTGGAAACACAAATTATTCTCTTGATAAATTGCTTTTGCTTGTATTGCTTAAATAACAGGGGTAGAATTGGAAATTTTAAGTGTACAAAGTATTTTTCATTGAGGAAATCTAAAGAATTATATATAATAACATTAAGCCATATCTTCTTCTAACATGAGTGAAACAGGAGTTGGCTTCATAAAATCTAGGATTTTATAATTCTCTTTTACAATATAAGAAAATAAAGCAATTGTAACTAACATAGCCCTTGTAGAATTTTTTACAAAACCTTTTTCTTAGATATGTGTACTTCCTGATAAGCAGAGATGATGAAATAATGGGCTATTAAGGGCAAATAAGTTTCTATAAAAATACCCAAGCTGGGATATAAGGCATCTCCTGCACGCACAGTTGCAGTTAGTTATTCCAGCTATTGTTTTTGTTTTCAGAAAGAAAACTGAGTAGAAGATAATGGCAAGTCCAGACTGGGGATATGATGGCAAAAATGGTAAGAGTTCTTCTGTTTATATGATATAATATCAATATTGTATCAAATTAAATGATAGCTTATTCTTATTTTCCTAGAAGAGATATTAAGCATTTAAAATACCTGTACAGCCATAGGTTAATTTTTGAAGTACCTGCTGTAAATAATAATAATACCTTAGGATGTATTCTTAGCTTGTCTTTTGGGGCATGGCTGTTGCATATCTCAGAGACACTGCAGGTTCAGTTTCAGATCCCTATCATAAAGCAAACACCACAGGAAAGCAAGTCACATAAAATTAGGAGTTTTCCAGGGCATTTAAAAGTTACGTTTATGCCATGCTGTTGTCTATTAAGCGTGCAATAGCATTATGTCTAAAAAATCTACATACCTTAATTTAAAATACTTTATTGCTAAAATATGCTAGTGATCATTTGAGCCTTCAGCACGTATTAACCTTTATGATGGTGGAGGATCTTGCCTGGATGACTGCTGACTGATCAAGGTGGTGGTTGCTGAAGGTTAGGAAGGCTCAAAGTCATCCATGACTTTGGAATCAACTTCTTCCAAACTCCTGTGAATGTTGATAACTTGACCTTCTCCCATGAATTACAAACGTTTATGAAGAATAGTGAATTATTTCTAGACAACTTCAATTTCCTTTACCCAGATCCATCATAAAAAACTATTATCTATGGGAACTATAGCCTTACAAAATGTATTAAATAAGATTTGAAAACTGACATTACTCTCTGATCCATGGACTGAAGAATAGATGCTGTGTTAGAAGGCGTGAACATAATATTAATCTTTTTGTACACTTCCATCAGAGCTCCTGGGTGACCACGTGCATTGTCAATGAGCAGTGATATTTTGAAATGAATCTTTTTTTTTAACTGAAGAGTAGAGCTCAACAGTGAGCTTCAAAATATTCAGTAAACCAGGCTGTAAACAGATGTGCTGTCATCCAGGCTTTGTTGTTCCTTTCATAGAGCACAGATAGAGTAGTGTAAGTATAATTCTTAAGGGTCCTGGGATTTTCAGAACACTAAATGAGTTTTGGCTTCATATTAAAGTCAACAGTTGCACTTGACCCTAAAAAGAGTCAGGCCATTTTTTAAAACTTTGAAACCATGCATCGACTTCTCCTCTCTAGCTGTGAAAGTACTAGATGCTATCTTTTTTTCCAATAGGAGACTGTTTTGCCCACTCTGAAAATCTGTTGTTTAGTGTGGTCGCCTTCATCAGTTGTCTTAGCTACATCTTCTGGGTAACTGTCTGAAGCTTCTGTATCAGCACTTGCCACTTCACCTTGCACTTTCATGTTATGGAGATGGCATCTTTCTTTAAATCTCATGAACTAACCTCTGCAGTTTTTCTTCTGCAGCTTCTTTGGCTCTCTCAGCCCTCACAGAATTAAAGAGAGCTAGACCCTTGCTCTTGCTAGGATTTGGCTTAAGGGAATGTGGTTGTTAGTTTGGTCTCCTATCCAGACTACTCAAACTTTCTCCATATCAGCAATAATGCTGCTCTGCTTTCTCATCATTTGTGTGTGCCCTGGTGTAGCACCTTTAATTTTTTATTCAAGAATTTTTATTTTGTATTCACATCTTGGCTAACTGGCACAAGAGATCTGGTTTTTGGCTGGTCTCAACTTTTTTGTTTGTTTGGTTTTTGTTTTTTGAGACGGAGTTTCGCTCTTGTTTACCCAGGCTGGAGTGCAATGGCGCGATCTCCGCTCACCGCAACCTCCACCTCCTGGGTTCAGGCAATTCTCCTGCCTCAGCCTCCCGAGTAGCTGGGATTACAGGCACGCGCCACTATGCTCGGCTAATTTTTTGTATTTTTAGTAGAGACGGGGTTTCACCATGTTGACCAGGATGGTCTCGATCTCTTGACCTCGTGATCCACCCACCTCAGCCTCCCAAAGTGCTGGGATTACAGGCGTGAGCCACCGCGCCCGGCCTGGTCTCAACTTTTGACATGCCTTCCTCACTAAACTTGATCATTTCTAACTTGATTTTAAGTGAGAAACATGCAATTCTTCCTTTCACTGGAACACTTACAGATCATTGTAGGGTTATTAAACAGCCTAATTTTAATATTGCTGTCTCAGGGAATAGGGAGACTTACAGAGAGGGAGAGAGATGGGGAACAGTCGGTAAAGTAGTTAAAACACACACAACGTTCACAGATGCAGTTCATCATCTGACATGGACATGGTTTATGGTACCACAACACCATCACAATGATAACATCAAAGATCACCATGACAGATATATGAACAATTTAAAAGTTTAAAACATTGAGAGAATTACCAAAACATGACACAGAGACATGAAGTAAACACATGCTATTGAAAATATGCCTTTAATAAGCTTGCTTGATGGGAGGTTGCTATAAATCTTCAGTTTGTAAAAATAATGCAATATCTGCAAAGCACAATAAAGTGAAGGGCGATAAAATGAGGTATGCTTGTATTAGAATCTATTTCTAATAGCAAAATATGTATAGCCTGATCCTGTAGACTATAAGTATACACCTCTATTAGTAGTATTGACAAATACACTATTTCATAGTATAATATAGAAAAAAGGAAGGCTGAGTTCAGTAGGAGGCCAAGGTGTGTGGATCCCTTGAGGTCAGGAATTCGAAACCAGCCTGGCTAACATGATGAAACCCTGCCTCTACTAAAAATAACAAGAAAATTGGCCAGGCATGATGGGATATGCCTGTAATGCCAGCTACTCGGGAAGCTGAGGCATGAGAATCGCTTGAGTCTGGGAGGCAGACGTTGCAGTGAGCCGAGAGTGCACCACTGCACCCCAGCCTGGATGACACAGCAAGACTCTGTCTACAAAAATAAAAAGAAAAGAAAAGGGACTTTTTTTTTTCTTTTGAGACAGAGTTTCGCTCTTGTTACCCAGGCTGGAGTGCAATGGCGCGATCTTGGCTCACCGCAACCTCCGCCTCCTGGGTTCAGGCAAGTCTCCTGCCTCAGCCTCCTGAGTAGCTGGGATTACAGGCACGCGCCACCATGCCCAGCTAATTTTTTGTATTTTTAGTAGAGACGAGGTTTCACCATGTTGACCAGGATGGTCTCGATCTGTTGACCTTGTGATCCAGCGCCTTGGCCTCCCAAAGTGCTGGGATTACAGGCTTGAGCCACCACGCCCGGCCAAAAAGGGACATTTTCAAATGCAGAATGTCTATTAATCTTAACAGAATATCATTTAATACACTTAAATAAATCCTAATCTAATAAGCAAACAGGTGACTATACTCCTAATACTTGGAATCAAGCATTTGATTAACTATCAATTTTACACATGTGTGTCTCCTGGTAGGTCCTGAACAATGGGGCAAGCTGTACCCCATTGCTAATGGAAATAACCAGTTCCCGATTGATATTAAAACCAGCGAAGCCAAACATGACACCTTTCTGAAACCTCTGTCTCCTACAAACCAGCCACAGCCAAAGAAATTATCAATGTGGGACATTCCTTCCATGTAAATTTTGAAGACAACGATAACCAATTAGGTGAGCTGAAAGACCTTCTGATATCCTTTTCCTTAAAGTGTACTGGGGAAATTTTTTAAATAGTGCTTAAGAAACATGACACCCATCCTAAGTCCTTTGAGCTTGTTTGTAGCATTGCTATAGTCTACTGAGGCATCTTGGACTTCCAGAAAACGCCCAAAGGATAAAGACAATTTTTGGAACTCCCAGCTCTGTATTTTCAGTCTTTCTTTTCAAAGTCACCATCACATCTCTTCTGGCCATTCCAGTATCTGCATGTTTACTTCACTCTCTCTGAATAAACAGTATTTATCCAGAAAAGTTCAGTAAAACAGTCATTCAAATATAGCAAATATTTTTAATTGGGATAAGGATGAATGAGCACAGTAGAAAAGAGAAACAAATGCCGGGTGCGGTGGCTCATGCCTGTAATCCCAGCACTTTAGGAGGCTGAGGAGCGCGGATTGCTTGAGGCAGGAGTTCAAGACCAGCCTGGCCAACATGGTGAAACCCCGTCTCTACTAAAAACACACAAAAATTATCTGGGCATTGTGGCGTGTGCCTTTAATCCCAGCTACTCAGGAGGCTGAGACAGGAGAATTGCTTGAACCCGGGAGTTGCAGGTTGCAGTGAGCTGAGATCATGCCACTGAGCTCCAGCCTGGGCAATAGAGCTAGACTCCATCTCAAAAAAGAAAAAAGGAAAACAAAGCAGTGACTGGATTATCCTTATATTCCAGAATCTGGGACAATTTTGCTATGGAATTAGCTTTTCATGAAGGTTTATTGAATACTTTATTAAATGACAATTCCATAAAACAGTTCAACTGATTTAAAATGCTAAACTTGTTTATGAGTTTCTGAGGCCTAAATTTTAGGCACCTTGGGGCTATGTTCATTATTAATATTAGATTAGGTCTGGTAGTATATGCATTTAACTAATATTATCATCGGATAGGTTCTCCAGACAAAGTTTTCAAAGTGGCCCACTGCCCCACTGGTACTCTCTCTTGGTCCCTGGCCAGGGATTCTCATCAAAGCTGTCAAGATACACTGTTATGTCTTCATCAGTTACAGAGTAGGTGAAGAATGGCTCATTACTCAAAATCAACTACTAAAGATTTTTGATGCATACTGTCTTTGTCGAAAGAATGAAGGAATAAACTTGCAAATTAAAGGAGACGCAAGGACAGCCCATAATGATATCATTCACCCACTTTGCAATATGCCTTCTTGGAGTCAGAAATAGGTAAAATTACAGCTCTTGTGCTGGGAAATGTATATAACTCATGGAATATTTCATCAATGCCATAGTCAGGGGTGCACCATACATATGACTGTCAACCTCATGGATGTGGGGGGTGGGAACCAAGATGAAAGGTACTAATGTTTGGTTTCACTTCTACTCAACACAGTTTAGTGTTGGTTTCTATTAAATGCAAAGATAAGCTAGAGCTTGTGGAGCAAAAGGCTAACAATAGGTTCCCTTTATTTTTCCAGTGGTGAAAGGTGGTCCTCTCTCTAACAGCTATAGGCTCCACCAGTTACATTTTCACAGGGACAGTTAAAATGAGTATGGTTCAGAACACACGGTGGATGGATTCAAATATTCTGGTGAGGTAATGTAATTTAGTAAGTGAAAGATAATTACCCTGAAAGGGGGGAAGGTCAGAAGAGAGGGAGAAAGGGAGGGAGAGAGGAAAAAAGGGAGAAGAGAGATTAAATAAGTGATATGGATAGAATTGTTTTGGTTTACGATGGTTACTTTATATTGCATAATCAGAAAAGAATTATTTAAGGAGTGGCATTTGAGTTCAATCCTAATTCAAGACAAAAGTCTACCATTGGGAATCATGAGGAAGGAAATTCCAGAGAAAATTAGAAGCTAATGCACAGGCTCAAAGTTGTGAACATGTGGAGAGGTATAATCTATAAGATGTGAATGTTGATCAGTCAGCAAAGTAAGAAATGAATGACAATTGTTGTACTTATTGATTGAGCAATTTACAAGCCTTATTCTAAGAAGGTAAAATTAAGAAAGTTTGGCAAGAAGGAAATCTAGTCTTCTATTTTGACCATATTAAGTTTGAGACATCTATTAGACATCCATGTAGAAATATCAAGAACACATACATACAGACTTGGATGTACAAATCTAGAGTTCACAGGGACATCAGACTGAAGATATTCGTTTGAGAGGTGTCTAGAAAGGACACGAATGTGCCTGAAAGAATCTATTCTTGGCCAAGACTCCCAGGTACTCCAGGAACCCTTTCTCATAAATTTACTATAAAATACCTCATGTGAGAGAAAATTACTTCAATTTTTTTCCCAAAATCTAGTTAGTCATATTTTCTGATCTTTTCATAACAAAGAGAGATACTTCTAAAGGATATTAAATAAAAATATCGTAGGAAAAGAAATTTTGCTTACCGGTTCCAGGTTTTGCAATCTCTGCTTGTCACACAGATAACCCTTCCTAAGAGTGAGAACATAACTCTTCTAGCCCATTGGAGAAAGGTTCACATAAGTTTTATCTGTCTAAGCCAAGATACATCATCATATGGTAACAGGTTAACTTATAATTTATCTTTTGTCTTCACACTGGTATAAACAATTAATTAACCATAGTATCATTTTTAGCTTCACATAGTTCACTGGAATCCTGAAAAGTACTCCAGCCTTGCTGAAGCTATCTCAGAGGCTGATGCTTTGGCAGTTATTGGTGTTTTGCTGAAGGTGGGTTACAGACAGTTACACAGCTCTGCTTCCACTGTCTTACCAATCAGACTTCAAAATAGGAGGAATTAAGGCAACATATATTTTAGAATTTCTTATTGGAAAGTCCCCATTCAATGACTACAAGTGAACAAACAGTGCCTAGTACTTTATTGCTTGGTTTTATCTCTGGTTTTCCCTTTTAAAGAGAGAAATGAGTTTCAGGTGGAAGTGAAACAGAAAGGTATTCACAGGGAAAAAGGAATTTCTATTTTCCAGCTCTTCCAAATTCCCTTTCCTCTAAACATCCTACATTATAGATTCTGAAATTTATTGATTTACTATCTCATCAGTGAAGAAATATTATTAAATGTTAATAAGAAAACCTGAAACCATAGATACAGAAATTTATCAATTTAAAATCTCATTAGGAAAGAAATATTAAGAGATTTATTTTCCTACAAAGAACGTTCCATTGATTTTTTTAATGGCAAATGTTGCTCCAATTTTCTATAGAAGCATTCCTTAAAAGTTCTACAAAAAACTTATTATTAAATTGGGTATGCCTGGGTAACTAAGTAACTCTTGAAATTATAGCATTTCTACTTAATCTTTACTGAGCAGTTACTACATGCCAAATACTGGAGTAATGTTAACTAATTCAACAGACCAAAAGTAAGAGATTGTTTTTTGTCTCGCAGTTTTGCTAAATTTCTATATTTTGCCCTGTATAACTTTGAAGATATTGCTGATAATTAAGCTTAAATCAAGCTTTTGTTTGCTACTTTATCTGAAGGTATCTATTATAAACATTTATAGAGTACAAAGGCCCTCAAAGACATACAGCTTGAAAAAATTCCCCTTCTAAAGCAGAGAGAATATACCTTACCTCTTGTCAGCGCTTAACTGAAAAACATTAAAAACTTAGCCAAGCAGTGTTCCACTGATAATAATCTTTATCTCCCACTTTTTTTTTTTAAATCTCCACGTTGGTGAGGCAAACCCAAAGCTGCAGAAAGTACTTGATGCCCTCCATGCAATTAAAACCAAGGTAAATACAATCACAGAACAAGAATTTATGGATCTATGGAAATTATTTAATAAAGTATTGGAAGGGGAAGTGGGAAGCCCATAGCAAAAGCTACCACCTGAAAATTAAGGTGCTTCTTCAATATTGCCTGCCTCTGAGAAAGTTTCGAATGCAGGGAATTGTTTGGGTTTTTTGTTTTTAGTAGTTATGGTTTATTTCAGCAGGATATGGTCTTCAGAAAAACAAATTACATAGCCATTTAAATTTCCTTGAAAAATTGTATCTAACTAAATTGTGATTTTCCATTTGATAAATAAAGATATCTCTATTTTTTTAGCAGTACAAAAATTCAGAAGTAAAGGCTATTCTTTTGAGACACGATTGATATACAATCTTTTATAACCATAATTTCTATTTGTCAACTCAAAAAAATTGTTTTATATACACAACCTTAGCTTTACTGTTTTAATGGTAAGTAGTCAAGCCATAAATCAGAGATTTGTCATTTTTTGCAATGTGGAGAACTGTCATATTTTTATGTAAAATAAATCTGATTTATGCTGATTCTAGAAAAGATTAAACTTAAATGAGTGTCTTAAAAGGTACAAATGATAAAAAAATAAGCCCTCAACTCAAGAGTTATCAAACATAACATATGAAAAGAAAATAGAAGAAAATAATTAGTGAAGCTAAAAGCAGAAAAGAATAAAATAAGAAAGAAAAATGATGCCTAGGTGTGGTGGCTCATATCTGTAATCCCAACACTTTGGCAGGCCAAGACTGGCGGATTGCTTGAGGTCAGGAGTTCAAGACGAGCCTGGCCAATATCGTGCAACCCTGTCTCTACTAAAAATACAATAAATTAGCTGAGCATGGTGGCTCATGTCTGCAGTCCTAGCTACTCAGGAGGCTGAGGCAGGAGAGTCACTTGAACCCAGGAGGCGGAGGTTACAGTGAGCTGAAATCATACCACTGCACTCCAGCCTGGGTGACAAGTTAAACTCTATCTCAAATAAATAAATAAATAAATGAGAGAAATAAGTAAAGGGTAAAATTTTTATCAATAAATTGAAAAGTTGATTCTTTGGAAGAACAATGAAAAAGGCAGACTTTGGGGAAGTTGGATAAAGAGAAAAAAAGCCATACATTTTAAATATTATTCAAAATAAATAGGTTGTAACTAAAGATATAAAAGAAAATTTTAAGAGACAATATTCTTTATAACATTATACAAGTAAATTTGAAAATTTAGATAAAATAGATAATTTTCCAAGAAAATATGAAGTAAGGGAATTGACTCAAAATGAGTTAGAATACCAAAATAGACTGAGAACCTAAAAGTAAATTTAAATGATACTCAAAATGTATCTATTAAAAGAAAAGACCAGGCCCAGACCATTTCACAGAAAATGGTTACTCGAAGTTTAAGGCACAGATATGCCAGTGTTAACTAAACCGCCCAGATGAAGGAACAGATAGAAAACTTCCCATCAATTTAATGGAATCTGATACCAAAACTGGGTATGAAAACTATAAAACAAACAAAACAAAAATGTAGGATAATCCTTCTTAGGAATGTAGCTAAAGAAAATCCTAAAATCTACTATAACAAATCAAATTCAACAGTGTATTAAAAGAGTAGTTCTGAACTAGTAGAGTTTAATCCCAAAAATGCAAGAGTGATTCAATATTAGAAAATCTTAATGTAATTCACTATATTAACAAAGTAAAGATGAAGAAAACCTCATGATCAACTTGTTAGATGCTTAAAAACCATTTGATAAGTTAATGCCCTTTCTTTAGGAGAAAACAAAATGAAAGAAAACTGTTCGAAAATTTCTTGAATTTGATAAAGAATCTTACCTAGAAACTAGTATCAACATTTAATGTCATAGTGAACACTTCAAGCACTTTCATTTCAATCAAGGACAAGACCAAGGTGCCACTGTGACCATCACAATTGAAAATTATAATAAGAGTCCTAATCAGTGCAACAAAATAATGAAAGAGTACATATTATAATAGATATTCAAAAAGCAAAAAGGAAACTATAATTATGTGCAGATATTATCATTAACATCTACCTGAAAACTTCAAAAGAATCATAAAAAATACAGAATGCATAAAAGATTAACGTACAAATATCAGTACATTTCCTATACACACATAAATATCAGTACATTTCCTATACATCAATAGTAATCAGAAAAAATAATGTAAATAAATAGAATAAAACTAAAACATTACCAATATGCATGTCAATAAAGATCTTTGCCATTAAAATAGAATCTGACATCATTCCTAGAGAAAAAAATAAAAGCTTTATACTGGAAATCAAATATCTTTTAAAGATATATATATATGCTAAAATACTTTTTTGAAGCTTTGCTTATCTGCAACCAGATGAAGAATATGTAATGATCAAAAACTTACATGTAGCACATTTTTCATCTTTTTTCTTCTGTTGATATTATTGTTTGTATCCACAAACACATCAGTCATGAAATACTAAATAGTAGAAAAATCAATGACTCTTAACTAAAATCTCTAAATAATGTATAACAAGATAATATAGCATGTGTGAGTGTGTGTGTGTGTGTGTGTCACATATATTCATATAAGCATTTTATATTATGCTGTAATTATGTATACTTTTCTTCCAGGGCAAACAAGCCCCATTCACAAATTTTGACCCATCTACTCTTCCTTCATCCCTGAATTTCTGGACCTACTCTGGCTCTCTGACACATCCTCCTCTTTATGAGAGTGTAACCTGGATCATCTGTAAAGAGAGCATCAGTGTCAGCTCAGAACAGGTAGAGTATCAAAGGCGAATGAATGGGAACTCGTTATGTGTGGCAGGACTATTACTTTAATTGATAATATCAGTGAGAGAGATAATTATTTCAACTAGCTTTGTGAGTTCATTTTTCCTCCCAACTTAAAAATATTAATTTTGAAGCATGGGCCTACTAAACTATCCAAAAAGTGAATTATAATACTTTTTTTGCCTCTATGAGAAAAAAAATGAGATTCAGAACTCTCACTATTCTTTTCTCCTTAATAAGGAAAAGTCCGACCTTGTTAAATATCTTCTTAAATGTTTCACAAATAAAGGAAAAACTGTGACTGGACATTTCAATAAGACTTTGGGGAATCGTGGCTCTCAGTTGGCATACCTCGATAGTTGGCAAAAGATTTGTTATTTTTGTGGAGCTTAAACTTTTAAATATTCAACAAAATATCTCATTAACTGTTCTTTATAATAGTGATTACAGTACGTATCATTGATTGGTCAATACATTTATTAGGTGCCTTACATATGTTTTCGTAGATAAATTTCATAACAAACCTACAGGACAAGCATTGTAGCCTGTTGCTAACTGACATTTATTGAGCACATGCTATATGTCAAGCATCATTCTAAGGGCTTTGCCTGTATTAAGCCAATTAATCTCACAACAACACAGTGCAGTAAGTACTATATGGAAACTAAGGTACCAAGCTAATAAGTCACTCACCCAACATAGTTGGTAAGAAAGTTGATACTTTAACCCAGTCATCAACAATTTAAGCAAACTGATTGGTTCAAAGGAATGAATGTAAAGGATTTGGGGCTTTTTCTTTTCCTATTAGTGATATCATAGCAATTTCTAACTCAGTTTTCTAAATATCGAGCATTAGTGTACTCTAAATAAAATGCTTTATCTAACTTTAAAACTTTTGACTTCTGAAATATTTTATCCTTCCAGCTGGCACAATTCCGTGCTCTTCTATCAAATGTTGAAGGAGATAACCCTGTCCCCATTCAGCACAACTACCCAACCCAACCTGTGAAGGGCAGAACAGTGAGAGCTTCATTCTGATGAGTCAGAGAAAAAACTTGTCCTTCCTCAAGAACACAGCCCTGCTTCTGACATAATCCAGTAAAATAATAATTTTTTAAGAAATAAATTTATTTCCATATTAGCAAGGCAGCATGCCTTCAAATCAATCTATAAAACTAAAAAACTTAAGTTTTAATTCTTACTGCTTAATTCAAATAATAATCAGTAAGCTAGAAAATAGTAATCTGTAAGCATAAGCTTATGCTTAAATTCAAGTTTAGTTTGTGGAATTCTTTAAAATTACAACTAAGCGATTTGTATGTCTTTTTTTTTTTCAGTTGATTTGAACCAATAAAATAATTTTATCTTTTTCTTCCTATTGTGCATTCAGTTTCTGAAACCATTAAGTTTCTACTCCATGTACATTTAAAAATCTTAAATACTTCACTTGCAAGAGTATTTTCCTCAAATGTAACATCCTAAGAGCAGCTGGAGATGAAATATTAAGAAATTCATTTGCTTACTCCTGAAGATAAAATATAGCTGAGAAGACAACTGGATTTAATATCGTTATGCTGGCCCAACATTGCTACCATTTGTGTTGTCTGTGATCAAAATGATTATCTTTTATACAGGAAGATGATGCTTCTAGATATTGCTTTCACTTCTTCTTCCCACATTAGCAAGGACAATGCTTCTCTGCCATCATTACAAATAGTTTGTGTGGAGAATCTTTAGTTTAAAATTGGAAGAGAAGTCACAAGTGAATGGTTTCTAAAAATACTAAAGAAGGCTGGGTGTGGTGGCTTATGCCTGTAATCCCAGCACTTTGGGAGGCTGAGGCAGGTGGATCAGGAGGTCAGGAGTTTGAGACCAGCCTGGCTAATATGGTGAAACCCTGTCTCTACTAAAAATACAAAAATTAGCCGCGCGTGGTGGTGCACGCCTGTAGTCCCAGCTACTTGGGAGGCGGAGGCAGAAGAATCTCTTGAACCCAGGAGGCAGATGTTTCAGTGAGATCGCACCACTGCACTGCAGCCTGGGCAACAGAGGGAGACTCCGCCTAAAAAAAAAAAAAAAAAAAAAAAAAAAAAAAAAGCTAAAGAAGTCATTTGTGCTTAGAATCATATAGAAACATAATGCAATTCTTGAGTCAGATGTGCACTTCACCTAATGCTAGTTATTTTTATCTTTAATTTACACACAGTAATTGTACATATTTATGGAGTACAGTGTGGTGTTTTTTGTTTGTTTCTTTGTTTTTTAAGACAAGGTCTCACTCTGCCACCCAGGGCAGAATGTGATGGTGTGATCATAGCTTACTGCAGCCTCAAACCCGTGGGCTCAAGGGATCCTCCTACCTCATCCGCTTGGGTAGCTGGGACTATAGATGCATGTCACCATGCAAGCCTAGATTTTTAATTATTTTGTAGCGACGTAGTCTCTCTATCTTGCCCAGGCTAGCAGTGTGATATTTTGATTCATGTACATAATGTGTAATGATCAAATCAGGGTAATTAACATATCCATTACCTTAAATATTTATCATTTCTTTGTGTTGAGAATATTCCAAATCATCTCCTCTAGCTATTATAAAGCATACAATAAATTATCATTAATTATAGTCACCCTATCATGCTGTAAAACACTAGAACTTATTCCTTCCATTTTTGCTAAAGCCATGTCTACATCTGGAATTCTACAAATCCCGTGTCCAGTGTTTAATCTTGTGATTTACTTTAGTTATCTCATTTGAGGTAGCAGAGATCAAAGTCCAATTGTTCATTTCTGTAAGTTTTAGCAAAATTCCTCAAAAAACATTAAGCAGATTCTTCACTGGTCTAAAGAAGCCTTTCTGCAAAGGCTGTGTTTGTTTTATACCTAAATCCCATTCAAAAGAGACTTCTTTTGAATAACTTGACTTGGGGCTTAGAAATTAGGTGAATCCTCTTCATTAAAATGTTATTTGTTTTTATTTTATTTTTTATCAAAATTGATTTGTTTTATAAATAAATAAATAAAAATAAAAATTCTAACTTTCCCCAAAATTTTGAATTTTCCAATTCAAAAATTTATTTATTAAGACAGTCTCTCTCTGTTGCCATGCTGCAGTGCAGTGGCATGCTCTCGGCTCACTGCAATCTCCAACTCCCTGGTTCGAGTGATTCTCCTGCTTCAGCCTCCTGAGTAGCTGGGATTACAGGCACGTGCCACCATGCTTGACTAATTTTTGTATTTTTAATAGAGACAGGGTTTCACCATGTTAGCCAAGATGGTGTCGATCTCCTGACCTTGTGATCCACCCGCCTTGACCTCCCAAAATGCTGGGATTACAGGCATGAGCCACTGTGCCCGGCCAGAATTTGCTGTTATAAAAAAATAAATACAAATACAATGGAGTCAAGTAACACATCAGTTCTACACCCATATGCAACCTCTAAATATAAAATATCTTCTTTGCAAAGGAATCCAGATGTGTGTGATACTCTGTATTTGCCAAATATTGAGAAAGCCTCCAACGCTTATACCTGTGTTAGGATCCTATTACTCCACATGAGTGATATTGATAGGATTTTAATCATAAAGTTATCAAAGGTTCTCCAAAGGTAATACCCCTTACAGTAGGATATTACCTTTTCTCAAAATTACCCTAGTGAGAAAAGGTAATACCCTACTGTAAGGAGTATTTCCTTTTGAGAACATTTTGGGAACCATTATGCTTTCTTTCTTTCTTTCTTTTTTTTTTTTCAAAAGAAAGAGAGATATGAGTTTAAGTTGTGAAATACATTTGCAAAAGATGTTTATTTAAGAATGTTTTATGAAAATAAATTAAGCAATTTAGAAGTAAGTTTCACAGGAAGGATCTGAAAAACACTTGACCTGATGGTTCATATATTTTTAAGGTTAAAATGAATGCTAGCATCTAGATATAAATCTGCAAGTCCTATTATGGAAAGGGCAAAGATGTGACAAAAATTACATGATGGCCATCAAGCATTATCCCTAAGGCAAATACCAACTGAGGAGCAGGTTTCCCCTTACTACCTCTGCCAGAATGTCATATATTTGGCAGAACTCATGAGATACATTACGAATTTCTCTGAAGTAGCCGATAGAAACAGCTGTTGTGAGAAGGTATGTGGACTAGGCATTGGATCATCTGAGAGTGTAACTCATATGTGTTGCTGACTCACCCTCTTCTTGTATGGCCTCATCTTTTGTCAACTTACGTAAAGGATTTAAACATACCGCAAGGATTCTCTGGTTTTTCCATGATGTTTGGCAGCTGACCTTCTTTAGGCCACATCTATTGGGCTTCTAAGCATCTAGAATAAGCCAGCTGGTGAGGCCCAGCTTGGGCTCAAGGACAGAGAGTGCTTCTATTCCATGCTGTTTTCTGTCTTTTCACCTGTCCTTCAGAAAAACCCTGCTGACACTTATCACTATGGTACCCTTCTGCTGATTTGTGAGTCCACGTAGATGCAAATATTTTCTACATTGTTCATTTCTGTAAGGTTTAGCACAGTGACTCAAAATACATTGAATTCATCATAATAGGAATTAGGGCAAAGTAAAAAAAGAAATATCTTCATTAAATTTAATTTCCTTACGTGATTCAAAAGAGCAGAGATCTATTTACTGTAACTCTAGGCTCTCCCTGTAAGTGGTCCTTCTCTATTTTGTGGCGCAGATTCCTACCAATATGTGATTAACGCTATGAAACTTCTCTCCCTTACCAAAAAATTTTTACATAATCAGATATAGCCAAAATTTTGCACTGAGTCTTAGAATGTTTAGGAACTCAGCCTTTTCCATCCCTCCCCATCCCAAAGTCATTCCTGAACCTCAGGAAAAGATAACTGCTCTAAACTATTTGAAAACTTAAAAATGGACTTCAAGTCTCTCTTGGTCTTGCATCCTAATGTAATATTTATTTTTGCTTCTCTACCTCATCCTTTATAATGCATACCTAGAAATGGAATGATGGTATATTTCTGGTATCATTCATGAATTATCAGCTTTTTCTTTCTCCTCTAAAAATATTACTTTGAGTTGATATAAGGTTTCATTGTAGAAGAGATATAAAAATATTTAAGAAAACCTAAACCTTAGTGATTTGTTAATTAGTGGGTAATAAATAAAGGATTACAAATGAAAAAAAAAGGGGATAGAAGAGAAAATTTAAGTGAGGAAGGTATCATCAGGTAAATAAAGGACGAAAATCATTTTAAAAGCCATCAACATTCTCTGTATCCAAGACCATGAAAGCATAATGAAATATTTATTTTATAAGTGTTATCTTCATGATTACCTATAAACTCCAAATGTTTATTTACCCACTGATTTTCATGAGACACTGCACAGATTTTCTTATTACTCTTAATAGATTTGCCAATTTTCAGTCTCAGTAGATACACAAAGAGATAGATAGACAGACATAGCTACTGTATTAAATTAGTAAATAATTATGCTTACTCCAGACTGCTCTTATTTGGCAAAATAGAACTATGGATGTAGGTATTTAATCAATTACCAAAAGATAGCTGATTTTGTGTTCCTAGACTTAAAGCTAAGGAGAAAATGAATAAAATAAAAAAATTTTCAGTAGAAATATAACACGCTTGAAAGAAATATGGAGAAGTCATCACACGATTCTTGTATAAAATCTTGCTTTCAATAAATAAGTAACTCATAAGGAGTCACCTTAGAGTCTTAAAAATATGTGCACACTTTCACCTTGTACCAAAACAGTGAACTGGTGAACAAAGGGCTTGTGTTTGAAGACTTTAGAAGGCTCAGATTACAAGTGAACTTACTAGAGTTTGCTCAAAGGGGCATCTTGGATGCTAATCCCCTAACTATGAGAGGAGAGAAATAGCAGTTATGTCAGAGAGGAACAGATTTTAAGTGGCTTCATTTTTTTCCTCTCAAAAACTAGAGTGTATATTTCCCAAGTCATTAATAAATATTTTAATACTATTTACAAATAGAAGATTGTTATGCTATTCAGGTAGGTTACCTTTGATTAAGTTATTAGATGATCTACATTGCCAGCAGGAGCAAATATCCATAACAGAATCATACTGTGATAGAATAACATTTAGCTACTTAAAAAAATAGTTAGAACCAGATCTCACTCATATATCAAAATATATCCAAGATGGGTTAAGTTTTTCAATGAAATCATTAACTTGTTAGGAAATACATAAATATTTAAATAAAATCTAGTAGGAGAACTTTATTCAAAAATACCAAAGGCAACCCCAGGAAATAGCAGAATAATTTATTGAACTGTGAAAAATTAAATATGTAGGTCAAAGGAGCAATACCAAAAAAATTAATGAAAAGAAAAATGACAACTGGAAATAATGT